GAATGTTCGGGGCCCAGTCCCCGTGTCGGGACCTCGGTGCGGGTTTACCAACCCTTAGGTCTAGAAACCAGTCCTGGCTCTTACGCGTTGGGTCGGTGCGACCTTTGATTTTAGGCTGGCAACAGTGGCTCTTACGCATTGGGTCGATGCGACCTTTGATTTTAGGCTGGCGACAGTGGCTCTTACGCGTTTGCCCTTAGGCTTTGTTAGTTAACTATTTTGGGCTCAGTCTCCGAGTCGGGTTTCGACTCAAGCTCATTGGCCCTTAAGTTTTCGAATTTAAAGCTGGCCCTTAGGCTCTTACGCGTTAGGTCGATACGACCTCTCATATGGGCTGGCGGCAGTGGCTCTTACGCATTAGGTTGGTACGACATTTTATAGGCTTTATATTTCCCTCGTTAAGGAATTTTTTGAAATTGCATTTGCCCAACTCTTCGATGGATCGATAAGAATCTTGATTGTGAGACATTGTGTAGCGATGAATGAGCACCTCGGGAGGTTTCGCTCGATGGATAAATTGTTTCGATGCCTTTTGTTTGGAGCTGATATGATTGAAGCTCATTTGCTTATGTCGAAGGTAGCCTGATTAACCGGTTCTTTTCGAAGTTTTTTTTCGAATTAATTGAAGGCCTGTGATTTTATAGCGACGGTCGGGCATCCCCGAGTTGCGTTAGTTTGGCTGGTATAGCCTTGTGACCGTGATCATTGTGTTTGGCCAGAGACTTTCATTCCTTGAGTTAAATAGTTTCAGCATCTATATCGAGGGTATGCCTTTTTAGGGGTCTTATAAGTTCGGATATATAGCCTTAACTTTAAGATCGGGATTATGCCTTTTGTAAGGACTTTCAAATTTTAACATGCCTTTCTTGAGGTCTTACAGATAAGTCACTTGGCACAAGTGTGGTTCATGCTTGCTTGAGGTCTTACAGATAAGTTACTTATTGCTGGATGGGAGGATAGTTGATGACAGTCCCCGAGATGTTGATAGTTTTTTGGCTCTGGAGTCGTTCTTTTTGTAAACTTGGTGCTGCCTCATTGAGGGTTTACGAGTTCGAAGCTTCTAACCTGGAGGTTATGTGGATTCGATTTTTTGCGTCAATCCTTGTATGTTCGGGAAACTTCTAGCTCTGGAGCCTGCGTCAGTCCTTGTGTGTTCGGGAAACTTCTAGCTCTGGAGCCATTTCTCGCAAAAGTAGCATACTTCTATGAAGCGTAAAGTGTTTTGATAGAGGGGAAATATTCTTCTATTACTTGGTAGAAGTATATATTTTTTGCCGTCAAGGGCTCAATTATTCTATGCGGATATGGTTCATTCGCCCGTCTGGCCTGATACATCATTTTTCTGTCGAGATCCCTTTTGGCTTATCTTGACTTATTTGAGAAGGTGACCTCCTGGGGGATGCCCCCAACGTTCGAGGTTGATTGAACAAAAGCCTTTAATACTAGTCGAGTTTTTCCTTAGGTAGCATATAGGTGTTGCCTCGTTAAAAACCGTGCCGGTAAAACCCTTCTAGGGACAAAATCCGATCAAAGGAAAAGAGTACAACACATACTTTTAAGAACCCAAGGTCCTCGAGCCTGAGGGTGTTTCAGAGTCTTCCATCGGACACCTTAGCAGTAGCAATGTTTGAGCATTGATATATTCCAATTGCTTGGAAGTTGTTCGCCTTCCATGGTACCGAGCTTATAGGACCTTTTGCCGATCACTCTGAGGACGCGGTACGTTCCTTCCCAGTTTTGGCCTAGCTTTCCTTCGTTAGAGTTTCGAGTGTTGAGGGTGACTTTCCTTAGGACCAAGTCCACGACCCCGATATGTCAGAGATTTGTTCTCCTGTTATAAGACCTTTCGATCCTTTGTTTTTGGGGGGCCATTCAGACCAGTGAAACTTCTCGCTTTTCATCCAATAGTTTGAGGGTCGTAGTCATCCTGAGAGAAGGCAGCCTCTCTCGGGAAAGATGGCCCAATTTCTCTTCTTTCTTTTTAATTTCAGCTTTTTTTTTTAGAGGTCTCGTACTTAGTGACGAGTTCGAGCCTTAGAAGCATGGGGGTTGGGGGGAGCCTTACCCTAGGGAAAACCTAATAAGACTCATTCTAATACTTGAGTTCAATCTCCTACTTCGAAGTAAACCTATGGCCTCGTTATTCGAGCTCTTGGTGGTGTGTCAGAATTTGGCCCTGGGCTCTCCAACCTCCACTGGTATCAAAGCCTCGACACCATATACTAGATAGAAAGGTGTTTCTCTTGTGCTTGATTTTGGAGTTGTTTAGTATGCACATAGAACTTCGGGCAATATTTCTCTCCATTTTCCCTTAGCACTTTCCAACTTTTTTAAGTTTTGAATGATGGTTTTGTTTGCAGACTCGGCCTGACTATTTGCACATAGGTGGTAGGTTGTCGACAGGATTCTCTTGATTTTGTGATCCTCGAGGAACTGTGTTACTTTGCTTCCGATGAACTGTTTCCCGTTGTCGCATGTTATCTCGGAAGGAATCCCAAATCGACATAATGTGGTCCCAGATGAAGTTAATGACTTATTTTTCTCTTATATTTTCGAAGGCCTGTGCTTCCACCCATTTTTAGAAATAGTTAGTCATAAATAAAACAAATCTAGCTTTACCTGGTGTCGTTGGTAGAGGTTCGACGATGTCCATCCCCCATTTCATGAACGACCACGGCGATAAGACTGAATGTAGTTATTCACCGAATTGGTGAATCATAGGGGCAAATATGTGGCATTTGTCGCACTTTCCATGTTGTCCCAATAGTGCCCTAATCACCTTTTGGACTAAGGAATCAGCGCCGGAATGGTTTCCACATGTGCCTTCGTGGATTTCTCATTGTCATAATCTATGTCTCCCAGCCCTAGACATACCTCTAGGGGGACATCAAAGGTACTTTTGTACAGAGTCCCATTTTCGTCAAGCGAGAATCAGGCTGTTTTGGTTCGTAGGGCCCTCGATTCTTTTGAATCCGTGGGTAGTTTCCCATCTTTCAAATAGTCAATATATTTATTTCTTAAATCCCATGTCAGGCTAGTGGAGTTGATCTCGGCATGACCTTCCTCGACCACTGATTTGGATAGCTGAACAACAGCCCTGGGGAGTAGGTCATCTTCTTCGACAGACGATCCCAATTTGCGAGGGCATAGGCCTCGCTATTCTACTCTCGAGGTATGTGGACCAGAGTCCATTCTTTGAAATGGTGTAATGTGACTTTAACTTTTTCCAAGTATCTTTGCATCCTATCTTCTCAAACCTTGAAGCTCCCATTTACCTGATTTACTACCAGGAGTGAATCGCATCTTGCTTCGACGATTTCAGCTCCTAGGCCTTTGGCCAATTCCAGACCTGCAATCATAACCTCATATTCGACTTCGTTGTTAGTCAATCTTTCAGTTTTTATAGATTGCCTGATTATACCGCCCGTAGGCGGCTTCATAACTATATCGAGCCTGAATCCTCTCACGTTCGAGGCGTCGTCAGTGAACAGGGTCCACACCTCGGAAGATGCACCCAGTTTTAGTAAAAGTTCCTTTTCTACCTCGGGCACGAGGGATGGCGAGAAGTTGTCCATGAAGTCTGCCAGAATTTGGGACTTGATAGCCGTTCGAGGTTGATACTCGATATCATACCCCCCGAGTTCGATAGCCCATTTGGCCAATCGGCCCGATAGTTCGGGCTTATGCAATATGCTTTGGAGAGGATATGTTGTTAAACACAAATACGATGGAAATGAAAATAAGGTTTCAATTTTTGTGATGCGCTTATTAATGTAAGAGCTAATTTTTCTAGGTGCGGATACCTGGTTTCGGCATCTCCTAGGGTCCGAATTACATAATAAACAGGGAATTGCATACCTTGCTCTTCTCGAACTAGTACACCGCTTACTGCTATCTCGGATACGGCCAAGTATAAATACATCGTTTCATCCTCCTTTGGTGTGTGGAGTAAAGGCGGGCTAGTCAGATATTGCTTCAACTCCTCCAAGGCGCGTTGGAATTCTAGAGTCCATTCAAAGTTGTTTTTCTTTTTGAGTAAAAAGAAGAAATGATGACTCCTGTCAGATGACCTTGATATGAATCAACCCAAAATTGCTATCCGCCCTGTCAGCCGTTGCAGGACCTTTACATTATTTATCACAGTGATTTCTTCGATGGCCTTGATTTTGTCGGGGTTGATCTCGATTCCCCTGTTTTACACCATGAAGCCCAAGAATTTGCCCGAACCTACTCCGAAGCACATTTCTCGGGATTGAGCTTCATGTTGTGGCTTCTGAGGATGTCGAATGTCTCCTGCAAATGAGTCAAATGGTCCTCTGTGCGCAGGGACTTAACTAGCATGTCATCAATATAAACTTCCATCGATTTGCTTATTTGATGCTCGAACATTTTATTAACTAGGCATTGGTATGTAGATCCCGCATTTTTCATCCCGAAGGGCATTACATTGTAATGGTATGTCCCATACTTTGTGATGAACGAAGTCTTTTCCCTATCCCCGAGGTTCATCTGAATTTGATTATACCCCGAGTAGGCATCAAGAAAAGTGAGGGTCTCATGGCCGGTCGTGGCATCGATCAAACAATCGATGTTAGGCAATGGGAACAAATCCTTGGGGCATGCCTTATTTAAGTCTTTATAATCTACACACACTCTTAACTTATTTCCTTTTTGGGAACTACCACCACATTGGCCAGCCATTCGGGATACTTTACCTCTCTAATAGACCCTATTTTAAGGAGTTTTATTACCTCGTTCTTGATGAATGCGTGTTTTACTTCAGACTGGGGTCTTCCTTTTTGTTTCACCGATTTGAATTTTGGGGTAGACACTTAGTCGATAGGTGGTTATTTCCGTGGTATCCCTGTAATATCTAAGTGGGACCAAGAGAAACAATCGATGTTATCAATAAGAAATTGAATGAGTTTTTTCCTGAGTTCGGGGGTTAATCCCGTTCCCAGGTATACCTTCCGATCTAGGAGATGTTCGATCAAAACAGCTTACTCCAACTCTTCAATTGTCGACATCGTTGCATCCGACTCTTTGGGGGCAACGAAGGTTCGGGGAGTAAGGAAATCTTCTTCATCACCCTCGAGAGTCTGTACGCTTCTCGACACTTCCGAGGTAGAGTGTATAGGATTTGACGCCTCCCAGTGGACCGCGAACATTTCTTTTGCTGCATGATGTTCTCCATATACTGTTTTTATACCCTCCTTTGTTGGAAACTTCATCATCTGATGTAGAGTTGACGGTACTTCCCTCATGTTGTGTATCCATGGTCTGCCAAGCAATGCGTTGTACCTCACGTCACTACTGATGATGTAGAATTTGGTATTCTGAACTGTACCGGACATGACGACTGGGAGGGTGATCTCCACTTTCATTACTTCGCCGGCCATGTTGAAGTCGTTGAGGACTCGAGAGGTGAGTATGATCTGGTCGAGAAACCCGAGTTGTTCTACTACCTTTGACTTGATTATGTTGGCCGAGCTACCTGGATCCACGAGTACACATTTAATTTCAATATTACTTTAAAGAAATAAAATTACCAGCGCAGCGTTATGTGGTTGTGTCAATGTCTCGAAATCTTCCTCGCTAAATGCAAGTGTGTCTTCGATCACGCGGTCCTGGATCGGCCCTTCTGTTATGTGGCCTTCGGTCCTTGGGGAATGTCGGTCCCCCCGATGATCATATGAACGACATGCTGAGGAATCTCTTTTTTTTCCATGTGGGATTTTTTCGAGTTTCTCCCTGAATTTTGTGGCATATGCTCCCGTTAATGTGGGACTGGCGTTAACGTATTGGGCATTGCATGAGGCCATACCCTCGGGAATTGGTTCTGGTGCACTCTTAGAGTTTTGCGGTGGCACACCCATACCTGGAATAAACATACTGTCTTATCCATAGTCCTTAAGGCCGTTATTTTCAGGTGCATTTACTGAGTTAGACATTTTGACTTGAAATCAATGATCTTGGACAAGAAAAAGTGTGAAAGATAACTTGCGTTATGTAGTAAACCAGCAAAAAACAATCATTATTATTTTTAGCCCCACGGTGGGCGCCAAACTTTTTACCGTGAAAATGGTAATAACAATTAGATTAGATTTTTTCGTTCTAAAAATACGTGATCTATTTTTATGCTAGTTGTTTAGACAATAGATGCTAAGTGAAAGATCAAAAGATAAGACAACGACTCGTAGTTAGTGCAATAATCAAACCAAATATCTGGAAATCGGGGCCTCAGGCTTGCGTATTCTGGGCCTCGAGATCGTCGGAAGCCTGACTAAGGACAGTCGATGGAGGATTAACAGTTATGATAAATTTGATGGCAGCTCTTTATGGCCAATAATGAGCAATAACTGAAGAACAATAAATAGAACACGATGAATGCAAACAATAAATGTAAATAATGGGGTCAAGAGAGAATGTGTTAGAGAGCAAATAGAATGTTCTTGTATATTCAATGTTGTAAGAATGATATCTTGTCCGTGCCCGAAAAACAGTAAAGGTCCCCTTTATATAGGAGGAAGGAATCTCATCATAGTACGTATGTATTTATTACAAAGTAAAGTAGCTGGCACAACCACCTAGCAGTCTGGTGTAGACTGGTACTATTCTTGTAGGTGATGTCAGTTCGGACCGCATGCCTAGGGAACTTTCCGCTTACCCTTGATAACCATCGACTCGTGCTGCATCGAGGTCGGGTGTGAAGAACCCTCGAGGCCGAAACTTTGAACTGCGCCCCCGGGTCTTCGAGGCCTTTTTGAAGCTAAGGGACAGACCCAGTGATCGTGAAATCGGGCCTCCCGATTTCACCCATATACAAACAACATCATCAATTGGGAAGACATAATTCTTTTCTGCTTTTGGCAAATCTTGCTCGCTAGAAACCATAACCTATTCAACAAAAGAAAGGATGTGGTAAATTTAAAAGCTGTCATGGCAAAAGCAACTGAGTATATTACCATTACAATAACCAGTGCACCATCAAAGAATAGAACTATTTGGGTCAAATGGACGCCACCACCCACCAACATGTACAAGCTCAACACTGATGGAGCTGCACTAGGGAACCCCGACAAAGGAGGAGTGGGAGGTGTCTTTAGAAATGCAAGTGAGAACTGGATTCTGGGCTACATGGGAAGTATACAACATACTACCAGCACACAGGCTGAATTACTTGCTATCCTAAAGGATCTGCAACTAGCGGAAGAAAGACACCTTATACCATTGGAAATCAACACAAACTCCACAGAAGTAATTAGAATGCTTACTAATGGAAACCTTATTTTTGACTCAATTATCTTTGAATGCAGGTCAATCGTCTAAAGGCTAGGAGACGTGGTGGTGAAACACAGTTACAGGGAGACGAACAGAGTAGCTAATCTACTAGCTAAGGAGGGAGCCAAGAAGAATTTTTTTGAAAATATTTTTGTAATAACAGTTCCTCCGGTATTTGCCGCACATATTTTTTAGGCAGACATCACATGAATTATTTCATTAAGACAAATTTTGAATTGTAATATTGACTAACTTCAGTCACAATGAGGGTGAATTGATATATCCCCTCGAAATAATGCTACTATCAATTGGCATCCTAACGGATAGTTTATAATGAAATGCAGCTTTTTAACCAAAAAAAATCATGAAAAAAGGAGTAATTATTTATTTGATTAAGTATCCAATTATTTCATTAGGGGATTTGGTATTTTCTTGGTATAACCATTCAGCATTTAGTATTCACCAACTCGAATAATCAGAATTCGAGTTGCGCAGGACCAAGATTTTCCCAATTCTTAGAACAGGAACTTAAAACATTTCCATCCACCACACTAAATGATTAGGTTTTCATATTTTTGGGGATAAAAAAACGAAAAGAAACAAATGAATAAAGAAAAGAGCTGAAAAACTTAGTTGAATTCTGAATTCATGAATTACTAAAATATTCCTGAATTATATAAATATTGATGAGATACCTTTGATTCTTTCGCTATGCCCCAAGAGTTTTAAAAGTGGAAGGACAAAGAAGATAAACTCGAAAAAAAAAAGTACAAACAAATAAAGAAGATAAACCTTAGAGGCAGACAATTTGAGGAATATTTGTAAGTTCTAGGTCAAATAAGCAATTAAAAATAGTAAAATTCTCTGCAAATTCTATGAAAATTTCTCAGTTATAATAGCAAAATGCCTGCCAAGTTGCAGTTTGTCGTTAGCCGAGAGAAACACTGCTCATTCCCAACGATATGCAGCCTAATTATTCCTATACCTATGAATTAATTAAATATTAGGTCTGTCCTCGGTTTTAAATTAAAAATATAAAAAGGTTGAAACATTTAGTCAAAATATGTTTATTTAGTCTGGAAAAAATTATGTTCACGCACACAACCAAAACATTAGAAGGTATTATTAAAACAACCAAAAAGTTAAACGGCATTATAAAAATGATGCATCGGACGTTGAGAGAATGCATATTTCTGGGATGCAAATCATTTTTTTTTATTTAAATTTTCTTCAGTCTATGTCTTGCTTCTAATTATTCAATTACTTAGACGGTATCTGAATCTGGTGTTAGTTTTTTTTTATAACTTACTTTTAGAAATTATTACTATTTAAATACTCTTTATTTAATTAGTTTTGCTTTTAATTTATTCTTTCTGGAATGACATCTCTATCTAATCAAGGCAAAGATAGGAGATAATAATTTGTTCATGATTTTATCCCCTTTGAACCACTTCTTTCAATTGTTCCGTCCTAACGAATGGGAAGAAAATATATTTAGTTAAGGAAAAAATTGAGTTTGAGTGATCTTTTTCTTTTCAAACAAATTATTTGATCTCATTAGCAGAAGCCAGAACTATAACTTTGATTTTTATCCTTTTCTATTTTCTAGCGTGAAAACTTCATTGACAACTGTTTGGAGGGTTAGAAGTTGATCCCAACATTTTCGTGTATTCGCTTTAGGATTCGATTAGTTTGGATTTGCACCAATTAAAGGAAAATGCTTTCTACCAAAAAAAATTTGTAATATTCAAATCCGAGACAGAAGAATTCTATCCATCCTACAATAATTTGATTTTGAAATAAAGGTCACCCAAAACTCTGAAAAGAAAAAGAAAAACAACTCATTCTGTTGAAGCTTTCTAGAAAACAAAATGTGTAAATTGTTTACAAACACAGCAAGTAGAATAATATCTTTGACTTTTGATACCGTTCACCACATTCTTATAATTTCACCCCGAAATTTTCGAGTTTTCAAATGTAAACCGATTTCACGCACTTAAGGAGAGTTATTGGAGTCCTATATTTTGTATAAACATAGTGAGATCCATATGAAGACAGTACTATAATTTCAAAAGAAAATTTCCAAATATATTAACGTGTTGTCAACAAAATGTCCAAATTTACTGTTAGACCTTTTTGTCAATTTATATCGTTATCGCTAATAAATCATTTCGTATTTGTCACTGTTTATACTCAAAATCGGATAACAATTAAATTTGTAAGTAGTTTTAAGAATACGTGGATTAAATTGATACAAAGCGATGAATTAAATTGCAACTGAAATAAAATATAATAAAATAAATTCTAATCACACGAATTGAACAGTTACAGCCTTAGGAGGTTGGTCAGCCTTGAATAAAATGCACTTCGATCAGTGTCAAGTCACAATTGAATAAGAACTTTAAAGAGAAAATAATAGTATATAGCTTCTGAATGCGTGTAAGAGTGTTTTTAGTAGGGTAGTCCTACTTTAGATACAATTCTATAAAGGGTAAAAATTTTCTGATTTGCTGATTTACCGGTTCCTCATTGATACGTGCTGAGACTCCCGCAGTAATACCCGGTCGGTCACGGATACTTCGGCCTTCTGTTATTTCGGTCTTTTGTTACTTATACTGGCAATGTTTTCTCGAGCTCGTTCGGAGCCAGAGTCAATCCAGGAATCATGAATTCGATGTTCTCGTAATTTGGTTCGATGTGACTCAGGGTCGGTCTTCAATCCTTCACGCCTGATTTCGACCGTATGCAGTCATATCATAAAAGGAGCTCCAGTGTGAAATAAATAAACTCCATATTAGTCAAAATTTTCAAAAAAAAAAATTATCATATTTACCGCTTAAATTTTGACTAAGAAATCAGGTTGAAGCTCTGTTAGGAGTTAGGTAAAAACTATTGTACGACATGAGAAGATTAGATCAAGATTTAACGGAAGAAGTTGCTTAATCAATTATGGATTATACAGGGACACATTTGACCCATTTTCCATTTCAAAAATTTATACGAAGTGGGCACGAGTCATAAGTTGTCTTTAGGACTAACTCGGCAGTGTTACTTTTTTAATAGCCTTGGACAAAGCAAAAATGTGGTTATCGAGATATTGTTCCCTAACTTAAGCACTTTGCGTACAGTAGTAGTAGATCAAACTTCTTCTAGCTAAACCCTAAAACCTCTCTTTTTGGTGCTTCGTTAATCGTAACGCCACACCCTTTTTTTTAACTACGTAGAGTAGAATAAACAGCAGACACAGTACGTTATTCTTTTCTGCATATGCTTTGGTAGAGTAGTTAGGCTACTATAGCAGTCAGTACACATATAGTATTATTATAAAATTAATAAGTTAAAGTAGGATATAAAAATGGGAGTGGGTGATAGAAGTCAAAAAGGAGAGTTAAAGGGGGGTGGGGAAATTACAATTCCGAGGGGAAATACTAAGTTCAACGCTCAACGCTCAACAATCAAGGAATTTTATTTTTAAATATGTACAGAATGATCACATGAGGGGTTTGGCCCATGTTTGTCCGGCAGACCTTTCAGTCATCGGTCGCCATTATTCTTGTTTTTATTTTATGTTCTCTCTCTCTCAAGGATGATTATC